TTTTAGGGCCTCACAGGCTCATAGCCAACTCCAGAAGGTTGGCCGCTATGCGAGAATGGTCTGTCAGTGTTATCTGCACCTTGGCTGAGCTGCCCACATGTGTTTTGAAGTTTTTATTAAATTCTGCATTTTGGTCTAAGTCAGTGCTCATGACAGAGACCTGCTTGGTGGCCACTCACTGGAGAATGTGCGGGAGAGAATATTCTGAATCTCATCAACCTGGAGGTAGATCTGCTGCAAATCATGTCTTCCTCTCCACTCAGTCAGCTACTCCTTTCATTTGCAAAGTTTCAGACTTAAATACTCCAGGGTGCAAAGAACAAGCAGATGGCCAGCTTTTACAGTGTGGCATTCAGGCACTTCGTCTGTAGTTGGTAGATGTGAAAACAGGTCTGCAAGTTTGGCATTAACTATATGAACCAAAATTGTACATCTCCCACAGCCTAGAAACTTCACTGTAAGGAATTTGCCTTAGGTATATACTCTCACAAGTGCACAGACTTTAAGCATATGCTCATTGCAGCATTGAGATGAATATTTAAAAATTATGGTACATCTATGCACTTGTGGATACAGCTCTTAAAAATGAGGAGGATATGAAATATACTAGTACAGAAAGAAGTTCAGGACATATGTAAAAGGGAACAAGGCATGTTCTGGATGGTGTGTATAGTATGATCCCATTTTTTAAAAAGAAAACAAAACACACACACACACACATTTTCTCTATGCTTGTGCATATCTTGAGGAAAAATTTCAAATGATGTTTATTAACCTGGACTTCCTCTTCAAAGATTGGTGGTGGAAAGAAGGGGGTGAGTTAGGAAGACTTTGCTTTTTCATCTTCTACCTTTCAGCATTGTTTGAATTTATTTTCCTTACACACATACATGAACTTTATTTCTTAAACAAAAGTACAACAAAAAACTAGTTAAAAAAAAAAAGAAAAGAAATTAAGCTCTTTATAGCCTCTCATTTGGCTTCCCTGGCCTCTCAATGAAGCCTAGGAGAACTGGGTCTGCTGACTGCTGGCTAGATGAGGATTCACGGGCATTTCTCGTGGAAGAGGATCTCATTCACTGGGTTTGCCTACTATGGCTAGAGGGGATTCAAGTGCCAAAAAAATTCCAAAGGCAAGAAGAGACCCTTTCCTTGTTCCTGCTCTGCTGCTGCTGCTTGTTACTTTCATCTTGGAGAGCTTCTAAATTGTGTAAATGGAGAAGCTAAATCTCAGCTTGCGTAAATTCATTCAAAGAGAATGAAACCCCTTTGGTACCCATTCTGATGTCATAAAGTCAAAACTGAACGCTTTAGCCTAGGAGCTGTCTCTGGAATGTGTCCCATAAGAAACAGCTGGTCAATATTATGATCTCATATCTTGGTAACAAAACTACAGATAGTTTTTGTCTGATAGTTTTCTTTTCCTTAACATTATGCTAAATATGTAATGTGTTCTAGACTCTGACTGTTTAGTGCAGAGGGTCGCTAGAGTGGGGAAAGAATGGAGGGGGACCTTATTACACAAGACTTCCTGAAAAAGAAAACGCTTTTTGTGTTTGAAAAGATTTGGTCTGAAATTTAGTTTGCATCCACTCAGGAAAGGAATTACTATTTCAAAAACACTAATAGTACTTTTGATTTATGTTAAACTGACCATTCTAAATAGTGATTAGAGCATTTGAAGAGGTGTGTCAGTTTTAGTGAAGACGTAAAAGATACTTTTTCTACATCTTGGAATTTTCTGCTTCTCCAGTTAAAACTAATATTTTTTTTCATCTCTAAATTTGGGGGAAGTGGCAGTTAATTATGGTATGTACACTTAGCCAAATAGGAATTGACATTCTTGATAGGAAATCTGAGAAATACATTAATGAATCATCCTTTTTACAATAAAATGTTCAAATATCAGCAATTTCATAGGGTTCAACCTAATACACGTGAAATACTTACGTGAAAAACAGAGAAGTACGTAATATCTGACTTTTTTCAAACCACTTGGTTTTTTCCTTCGTGGGATTTATCCTAAATGTAGACTGTGCCCTAGTTTACGGTGTCTTGCAGGTAGGAGACAATAAATATTTGCTGACTTGAATCTACACGTGTTGGGAAAATGTTACTGATAGGCTTGGAGGAGAGTCCACTTAAAGCAAGCTGTCATTTCCTTTAGGGCATATCTCACTAATTCTTTGGGTAAAGTTTTCTTGTCTCTCTTTTTTTGTTGTTGTTGGGTGGGGGGGTGCTATCTTTCCAAAATGCTTGTGCATGTGCATTATTTTTGCTTTCGTTTCTAAAGAAAGAGTTAGCCTGTGGGAGAGTGGAAGGCCTGTCTTAGCATCCCACCTCTGCCTCCAACTATGGGACATGAGACTGTTATCATTCCCTCCTGGACCACTGTAGTATCATCTGCAACATGATGGACTTGAACCAGTCAATCTTTAAGGTTCCTCTGGTCCCTATGACCCTGAATATATGAGGGTACTTCAAAAAATTCATGGAAAAATTTGTATTATCTTTTAATTCTATTCTTCCACAAACTTTTTGAAGTACTTTGTATACTGGATATTTTCTTAATGCTCTTTATAATGTGATTGTTGGAACATGTATACCCTGTAGATAGACATAATCTGCATAGGGAAAGGAGGCTTATATATGTTGAAGTATCAGTGGAAATATCTAATCATAGTAAATCACATTGATTGAATGCTTTATATTTACCAAACACTGCCCTAAGCATTTTCTCATTTCAACCTTCCAAGGACCCACTGAAGAAGATATAGTTATCTCCAATTTGCAGGGAGCTGAGACTCAGAGCATTTAAGTAACTGACCAGAAGTCCCGCAGGGAGCCAGAGATGGTTCTGGGGTGTGAGGCCCATTTAGACCCTAGAGTGCAAGCTTCTCCACTGGTCTGTAGACTTGAGATTCTATATTCTGAGCTTTTCTTTACCTCAGGAATTATGTTCCCCAAGGTAATTGTGTATAATAGAAACTCATGCATTTGGCACAGGTGGAATCACAGAACTTTGTTGGGTGAATTACAATCTCCTTGAGAAATTATTTGCTTGCAGTTGATAAACTAATTATACAATTTCTCACCTAATTTGCCCCCAAGAACTTCTCATAGTTAATGCTTTACTTGAAACATTTGCAATAGGTAAATTAAATATAAATTGGTGTATTTATAACTTACCCAGAAGTTTCTTTCATTTTTCTATATAAGTGAAATTTTATTGCATCTTCTAAATGATTCCATTTAAATACTTGCTGTCTTGCTGTCTATACCCCTGTGTATTTGCATGTGATTGTACCTGCCCTTACAGAAAATATGGGAGCTTGGTGCTATATGTACCTTATGTTTCTATAGTATGTCACAGTTTACCAAATAATACTATGAGCTTATTTAGCATATCAGAATGCACACACATTATGTTTATTTTATCTTTACCATAACCCTGTGAGCTAAGCCAAAATCATGTTTTTTAGCATCCTTTTATACTTGAGGAAAGAGTTTTAAAGAAGTGACCTTTCTCATCTTCCTGTCAGTCTTACAATTTGGTCAAACCAGAACTAGATCCTGGATCAACTAACTAGTCAGAGTGTGTTAATATTTGGTGTTGTTTAAATATTATTAAATATTATTTAAACATTTGGTATAGGTATTTATGTGTTGATTTAACAATTTAGAAAAAATCTTTTATAATCTTTGCATGGTTTTTGCATTTTAAATGGTTAACTGGGCAAATTTGTTTAAAATCAACACATAAAAGTATTTTGCCTATCGTGAAGGTTTTCATGAAGCAGTAAATTTTCATCATGGAGATCTCCAGCAGTCAAAGAGTATGCGGGTCCCTGGATATAGAGGTTCACAGGAGTGATTAATGTCTCAGCACTATGACTCAAACTTTGGGGCTTTTAGGCAAATCAGATGACCTCTTGAAAACTATCACTGAGTTAAAGCAAGATAAGGTTGAATTAAAACAGAGCTGTTGGAAGGCATGTGCATATATCTCACTTTTTACTAGAAGCCCCTGTACATACCGAGACTGATTTTTTATTCTCTCTCCCCATGTGGTTTCTTCTCCATAGAGAGTTGCTATTGATCAATCTGACCTATAGTATTTTAGAATCATGATCCCTGCTGCCTTCATTATTCCTTTTCTTCCCCGTGTTTAAAAAAAAAGAAAGAAAAAAAATAAAAAAGAAGTACCAAGATGCAAGATCAGAGACACTGGAGAGCTGGCACTTAATTCAGTGCAGGAACCCAAGACAGAAATAATTCTTAAGAAGCATGTCTATTATTATGAACATCCTCAACAATTTGTAGTTGATCTTGTTTCCTAATAGAGAAATCAGTTAAATTAAAAGAAAAGTAACCAAGAGTTATTTGGATGTATTTTAGCGTGAACTCAGCAGAAGGTGTGGTATTCTTTCATTGGACAGATCCTGATTCTGTGAGATCCTCTCTCAGTTCTAGTGTGCATGGCATCTCAGGCTTCCAGAACATCATGGAACACTCCAGAGTTATCAGAGGGAAGACCATGATAAGAAAATAAGTTAATAAAGTTTAGTTTTTCAACCTGTCACCTCCACCCCATAATAATGATAGCTGGTTAATCACAGAGACACCAGTGCACACTCTTTATGCCTTGTACCTGTGTAATCATTTTGCCAGCTTGTTAGGCCAGGGGGCTCCACTGTCATTTCCATGGAGGTACTTTAGGGGGGTCTTCGGGAAGGTAAGTGGCCTGGGTCCGCGATCTTTCACCCTCTCTACCCTGCAACGTCTCCACTTTACCTAGAAGGCCTATTTTATATATTAAAGTTCTGTGTAAGATTATTTTCTTATCCTATGGGCCGGCCCGGTGGCGCACTGCTACAGTGCGCCACTTGGGAGCGTGGTGGCGCCCCCGCCGAGGGTTTGGATCCCACATACAGACTGGTTCCTGCTCACTGGCTGAGTGAGGTGCGGGGGCAACACCGAGGGTTGCGATCCCGTTGCCGGTCCCGGTCTGGTATGGGCGCGACACTGAGGGTTGCGATCCGTTGCCAGACACGAAAAAAGACAAAAAGGAAAAAAATAAATAAATAAATAAAAGATTATTTTCTTATCCTTTCTCCCACCCTGAAAGGAAAGGATTCTTCTGACCACCTCCCTAAAGTCCTCAAAGTTTGAGGACCATTACTCTAGGAAGTCATCTTATATGAATATAAGAGTTCACAAATGATTTATATACCCCCTGCATTCTCCTGTTCAGAGTTCTTCCCCATTTATAAATGAGGTGAAAAGTAACACTAAAGACATTAACTATTGTGACTTTTAAAGTCTTCCATTTAGGGCCATGAAAATATTACTGACTTCATGCACATTTCCAAGGCTTTGTGTAACATCAGCGCTTTCAATCAATTTCTCTCTGGCCTTTTGTTTTTCCTTTGGAAATTCTTATAATCCTGTCTCATCTTTAACTATTCATCTTATTTTGGCTATCCAAATATACCCAATAATGCTCTTTCTGAAAATATGCCAATTGTGGTAATTACAGAAAAGCTGGAATATTAAATTGTTATGTCTGTTTCCTAGAGTACTCAATATGATTCCCCAAAGCATAGCCTTGGTGCCTGGGCAGGTTCTATTTTAAATATTCCAGTAAAGGTTGCTGCATATATGGGGGATGATTCTGCTGGGCTTGCCAGTCCTCTGAAATGTTAGTGTCACTCTTGTAGAAGGTTTATTCAAACAAGAAAGGAAATTTCACATTGTACCTCATATTTTCTAGTTAATTCATCACTTGCACGTTCTCCCAGAAGTCTGGGTTTGTCTACGTGGGAATGTCATCTTCCCTGCTAAACCTTGTCTGCTCACTTAGCAAACACACAGTCCCCATCTGTTGCTGTCCCACCTGTCCTCCTTTAGCATCTTAATCTAAACTGGTCTTCTCCAAGCAGCTAAAATACATTAGTTTGCATTCGCTTAGCTCCTCACTAGCTGTTTCTCACTTGTGGTTTGTATCTGGTAACTGAAGTTTAAGTTAGATCTTGAAGGGTGGAAGCCATAGGAATTTCAGCTTCAATGGAAAGAGAGCATTTTCTGCCAGTCACAGCTTCTCGGAGTTGGATTTCTTGGAGTGGGAGTGGACTCCCTATTGCTAGAGGCTGTGATCAAGCTTAATTCTAATTCAGTCAGAATAAATATAGTTATCCTGTAAAACTCTGTTTCATTTGGTAAGTCCTACTTTGTGAACTATAGGCAACTTTTGCATGTGTGTGAATTACATTTTAATTTTCCATTTCAAAGAAAGAAAATTCCTGTTGGCAGAGTTTGTTTGCATACAGGGAAGGAATCTTTTTCCCAATAGGAGTGGATTTCCCTTTCATTCTGTCCACGAAGTTAAGTCAAATTAGGCAGCTGGCAAATATTCCCTGGCTCTTCAACTGAATGTGAACAGACCCCAGAGTATGTAGTTCTGAGTAGGATGCCCAGTCTGGTGTCCTTAAAAACTAATTGACACGAGGGTGTGGTGAGGCATGTTTGGAGGAGGGTAAATTGCAACAGCCTTACAGGGGGAAAATTTAGCAAAACATATGAAGAGCCTTAAAAATGTATGTGCTTTTCGGGCCAAGCCCATGGCGCACTCAGGAGAGTGCAGTGCTGGGAGCGCAGTAGCGCTCCCGCCATGGGTTCGGATCCTATATAGGGATGACCAGTGCGCTCACAGTGCTCACTGGCTGAGCACGGTGCGGCCGGTCTCAAAAAGGACAAAAAAAAAAAATGTATGTGCTTTTTGACCCAGCCATAAAATGGCTGGAGATTTATACTAGGGTGATTATTAAGGATATTTGCAAAGATTAGTTACTCGGATGTTCATCACAGTGTTGTATATAAAAAAAGATTAACAACAGTATATGTTCAAAAGTAGAAAAAATGATCTAAATAAATCCTAATATACCCATTGTAAAAAAAAAAATTGTGAAAGTATGGTCACTGGCATGAAATGCATTTGTGAGAATGTCCAAAAGCTATTTTAGTTTGAAAAGCAAAATATATCACCACATATTATCTATAATACATTAATTTATATGTATGTGCACACACACACTCACATAGAGACCATAATTTTAATAGTGGAAATCTCTGGAATTACAGATAATTTCATTTTTTTCCTTTTGCATGTTCTCTCATGTTTGTTTTGTGGGGAGAGGGGCAGTTATATTCTTTTGCAAAAAGAAAAATATGTATTAATCCCAGAGAAATCTTAACTCAATCCAGCGGCCTCCTCCTCAGCTCCCCTCCCAAGCCAAGCCAAGGTGAAGTCCAGGGGATCTTGGGCTTTCCCCGCTGGTGACAGTGACTGCCCGAAACTCAAGCTCTGACTTGTTTCCTCAGGGAAGGAAAGCCCCACAGTGAGTGACACTCCAGATGATGGCGATGAGCCCATGCCTGTCCCCGAAGACCTTTCCACCACCTCTGGAGGACAGCAGAGTTCCAAGAGTGAGAGAGTAGTGGGTAAGTGGGTCGTCCCCATCACCCCCCCATCCTCCCTGCAGGCATCACCTGCTGTTCCTGTGTAACCTTCTGAGACAGTGACTAAGGGATGTGAGCCATTTTATCTTAATTGTCTTGTTGAGGAAATATGCTACAGAGGTCAGCAGGATGGGGCCTCTTTATGAAGGAGGATGGACACACACAGGCCAGCGTGGCTGTGAGACCCACCTGCCCAACAAAATGGCAGAGCTGAGGTGCCCCTCTGCCATGGGACGTATCTCTGTCACGCTCCTCTGTCCTCAGTGCACTTGCAGGAATCAAATTTTACAGATGGTAGTTAGTGAAAATTACACATTTTATGTGTTCCGGCAATAGGGCAATTTATCTTTAGAGCTTTGCTTCACCTGGCCATATTATGTTATCCCTCAAACCTCTACTTCGTAAATGCCAGAATTAAGTGAGAATAGAAAATGTGATAAATGGAAATATTTAAATGTTAAAAATAATATAGATTATTGAAGTTAGCAAACAGTTACATATCTTTTCTATAAAGGGCTAGGTATGGAACCATCTGAAATCACTCCACTGGTTAACTTAAACACGCTACAGTTCGTGTCTAGAAAACTTGGTCCATCCTCTTTCTTACAAGAAAACAGAGGCCCAGAGAAGTTCACTGAATTAACCAAGATCAAATGGCAGAGTCAGAATTAAACTCTATTTCTGACTCAAAGACTAGTTTTCACTCCGTAATACCATGTTCTCATGAGCTGAGTCAGCAGTTCCTTGGAATTTCTATTTTCTTTTTTTAAAAAAGAAGGAGCTGTGTTATTGGGAGCCACCTATTTGCACAAAAGAATGCCATGAAGGATATGTAGGTAAAATGAGGTAGGATGGATCAGTGTGGAACAGCTACATAAACCGCATTCTCACAGGCTTGTGAAAATCACCTCGGCCATCTTTCTATAGGACATCCTCATGCGATAACTAAGAATATGAAATAACTAAGAATTTATAAAATATATATATAGAGATATACATATATATAAAACATATTTTATATATTTTCATGTGTCTTAGAAATGAAGTTGACTTTGGGTGTAATGGTTCTTTTTTTAAAAACTTAGCTATATAATTCATGGCACAAACAGATAATGATAGTGGCAAAGCTGCTGGGTACAGATGAACTGAGAAAACAAGTACGTTTATGAATTCTTTTTCCCTATTGGAACATAGCTACTATATGAGGGAAGCTAAGTGGGGAGAGAAATAACACTTGTAAATCACTATGTTCTATCCAGGAAAGCTATGTACATCATTTCAGGGTTTCCCAAAGTTGGAACACATGTGATCACGCTGTATTTTACTTGTGTATTTATTTTTAAGGTTGTCTTCTATTTATTGCAAGTGATACTAGTTTTCCCACACACTGTACTGCTACAAAGGTTCCTCTTAAAACACATTTACGTAAATTAAAAATTCACCTTAACTAAAAACATTAAGCCGATGGATGATAGTCCATATACATGATAAAAATGTGCAAAGGTGGCACATGGGTAGCTAGGTAATGTAGGGGCGACCTGTGTTCCCTCATTTGTTTAGTCTCTGAAGCACCCAGTGCCACCGGTGCCCTTCTCCCCACTTAACGGATGAGCAAACTGATGCTTATACCCTGTCTGAGGATGCAGAGCGAGGGGCTGAGGGTCTGGGAGCCAAGAGGAATTATCCATTAACCATGTAAATGAATTGAGAGCCCAGACGCCAGAGCTGGCCTGTGGCTCGGGGTCACTGTGCAGAAGGTGGTGGGCTCTCCCTGCAGTCTTGCTGCAGCGTGGAGCCTTTGAGCCATCGTGGCCGAGATGGGTACCCTTTAGAGAACTGAAAGTTGGGCTGATTCCTGGAGAGTAAAGGACAGCCACAGTTCAGTTGGTAGAGATAAATAAACCAATGTTATATATAACTTCAAAATAGTCTAAATATCTCACCCCTTATGAACTTCAAGTTGTTGATAGTTTTCCCAGGTGAGGGACCATGGTTGGCATTGCTAACTGTTTCCCGGGACTGTGTTCTGTCCCTTGGAAGCTGAGCTCTAGGGCCCCGGTGTGTGCAGTACAGGTGTCACCTGAGAGTCTGGGCAGGTTAGTCAACTTCCTGTGGACTCTGCCTACTGCCCCTTATCATGTGTGACATGATTTCAGTCCACTTTTCCTTTCTGGATAAAGTTTAGACAACATGAGTTTCAGAATTATGAAATTTAAAGACCCTGGAAGATCTGTTTGGGTGGTTTGTAGACACCAGACCCAAGTCAATGTAGCCCTGCAGATGGGCAGGAAAGCCAGAGGAGGTGGGCACCGAATTGGGATTTGGGAGAGCAAATGCTCTCACAGGGGACTGGAGGCCAAAGGTCATGACCATGAAAGCACTGAGTGCAAAAGCCAGACAACAACAAGCCCTAGATGGGGGAGTTTTGGGGAGAGGAAGTCAGGAAGTGCAAGGACCCCAGAAGGCCCAGAAGGAGAAGAGACATCAAAGCAAGAAAGGAATCCCCACAGTGACTCTGTTTCAGAGACCAGCCTTTATGATTCTTGAAGGAAACCAGCTAGCTGTAGTATGTGGAGACAGGTTGTTTATTAAAGTAATTTGTAATATGTAGCATTAAATAAATGACTTAGGTAGGTAACATCAGGACACAGCATGAAAAGGTAGGGGGAATTTGTAGATCAAAGGAAACCAACTTAATGCCATATTTCGTCAAATTATTCCATGGGGATGAGTCAGAAGAACAGAGGAGTGTGACAGAACAGAAAACAGGAAATGAGACCCTCCCCAGGATGAAAGCAGTAAGGCAGGCAGAGGAAGTGGAGTTGTTGAAATGCGGGGGACACAAAAGGGGTGGAGTGGCCCTGGGGAGACGGGGGGTGGCCTGACAGAGCAGGGAGGAGGGGAGATAACTTAGAAGGGACAAGTCCAAGTCCCCTTCTCCCTGGCCTTGTTGTGCCCCGGGGCAAGGCTTTTCCTCCTCTTAAGGTGACAGTAGCAACTAAACACATATCACAGAATGGCTTTGAGGGTTATGGCCTGACGGAGCAGGGAGGAGGGGAGATAACTTAGAAGGGACAAGTCCAAGTCCCCTTCTCCCTGGCCTTGTTGTGCCCCGGGGCAAGGCTTTTCCCGTTGGACCTTCGTTTCCTCCTCTTAAGGTGACAGTAGCAACTAAACACATATCACAGAATGGCTTTGAGGGTTAGAAGAAAAAATTGTAGATACATTTGCTGAAGATAGAATAGCAACAGCAAAGTAAAAAGGACAGAAAAAGGCAGAAAATTTGTGCCAAACAGAAATTTTAAAGATTTACAAGAAGGGTAAAGGAACCTGTTGAAGCTTCAGTGGAAAGGAGGGAAAGAGAATAGATAACGTTGTTACGCTAAGGATAGAAGCAGCACTTATTTGTTTTATTTTATTTTATTTTTTTCCTTTTTGTCTTTTTTCNAAGTGGAGTTGTTGAAATGCGGGGGACACAAAAGGGGTGGAGTGGCCCTGGGGAGACGGGGGGTGGCCTGACAGAGCAGGGAGGAGGGGAGATAACTTAGAAGGGACAAGTCCAAGTCCCCTTCTCCCTGGCCTTGTTGTGCCCCGGGGCAAGGCTTTTCCTCCTCTTAAGGTGACAGTAGCAACTAAACACATATCACAGAATGGCTTTGAGGGTTAGAAGAAAAAATTGTAGATACATTTGCTGAAGATAGAATAGCAACAGCAAAGTAAAAAGGACAGAAAAAGGCAGAAAATTTGTGCCAAACAGAAATTTTAAAGATTTACAAGAAGGGTAAAGGAACCTGTTGAAGCTTCAGTGGAAAGGAGGGAAAGAGAATAGATAACGTTGTTACGCTAAGGATAGAAGCAGCACTTATTTGTTTTATTTTATTTTATTTTTTTCCTTTTTGTCTTTTTTCATGACCGGCAACGGATTGCAACCCTCGGTGTTGCTCCCGCGCCTCGCTCAGCCAGTGAGCGGGAACTGGTCTGTATGTGGGATCCGAACCCTCGGCGGGAGCGCCACCGTGCTCCCAAGCGGCGCACTGTAGCAGTGCGCCACCGGGCCGGCCCAGCACTTTTTATTTTAAAGAGTCCATCCATAGGGTAAGCAAACTGAAAACAGAACCAGAAGAGAAGGGAGGAATTTGCTAAAATAGGGTGAGACCAAAGGAAAGATGTAGGGTGCCGGCCACCACCAGACCCAAGTTAAAGGGTACGAGCTGTGACTGTTGAAATTTCAAGAGGAAATGGTGAGAGACTAAAAGGTGGGAAAAGGTGGGAAAATATTTGGTAATAATGGATTGCAGGCAGGGGTGTCTGTTTTAGAAAGACAGAAGGAATGCTTTTGAAAGGCTGTGAGCCGTTATTACCAGTGGCATCATTCGGTTTTAGACAAATCTAAATCTCAACAAGGAGAAACAAAGTGGCGGGAAATGGTAGAAATCAGCCCCCTCGGATGGGGGTGGAGGTTATACTGATGGGTGGGCCACTCCAGTGTGGCTGGTCCAGTGCTGAAGGAATCCTGTAGTCTCTGTGTAAATATAGGAAAGCAGGTGGCAGAGCCCCAGGGCAGGGCCACAGCTCTAGGTTCAGTCTCCATTTTCTTCCAGGTCTGAGTAAGAGGAACAAAGGATTTACAGTGTAGCTCACAGAATTTGAGTTAGACACGCAGGAGAACTTTCTGGCAAGGAGAGTTTTAGTCATCAGAGTGGTCTATTTAATGAAACTGTAGATTGTTCTTCTGAAGTGGTCTCTTTAAAAACGAGAGAACTCTCACCTCTCTGAAGTGGTTGTGTATGAAACTGTTTAAAAATGAGGATGCACTTGGTGACCTCTTAAGGCAACCCCAAATTTACTCAATCAGCCGTAGCACATTTACTAGAGAAATGAAAAATGGGTACAGATTGATTCTGAAAATTTGGACAGGGGCTCCGAAAAGTCTTTAATTTAGGATTGTCAGGATTGGAGTCTAGATAGCAGACAAGCGTCTT